ACAGGAACCCCAACCTCCTGATCTAGAAACCTCAGTCAAGGGACAGTGTTCTTTCTCACCAGCATTCATAGTACAGCCATAGGAGCACCTCCACCTTCATCTCAGTCTCCTTGTCCCCAATTCCCTTCTCCCTTCAAGTGAAATCTGTCCCACCTTGAGTACAGTTTTGTTTTGGACTTTCACTTCTTTCCTTGTCTCTTTCCAGGAAGCCCCAGCTGCATCCATGGTGCTTTAAACTTAACAGCAGCAATTACCATTTTCAGCCCACTGCTGCTGCTATCTGCTGGACCTCTGCTCTACTGCACTTTGCCACGTAGCACATACTTAACTGTGTCCCATGCTTTTTCCTAGTTGTTTTTAGAGCCAAAAATCACATTCAGACAGCAACAATTTTTGCTCCTTTCCTACTCACGAACTCTACTGGTTTTATTACCAAAACAAAAGTTGAACAATAGCCAAGAGTTTTGAGACCCTCACCTTTTAGATGTCTCCTGAAACAGAGCTATAATTGTCACATTGATTAGCCAGGAGCTACCACTCTCAGCAAAGAACATTGCCTGTTTGGGACACATTCCCAGGAAGGTATGTCCAGCCTCTGCTGCAGTGCTAAGCTTGGAAAACTATTAAAAGCAATCTCTACTTTGCTTATGAATCTTAGACTAATCTGAAATTTTGGTGCAATAAAAAAACCTAAAATCGATCTGTGGCTCTGTCACCTTGGCAACTTTGAAATCCTAACTCAGCAGCTCAATCAGTGTCATCCATAACAGAGGCAAAGACACCTGGAAAGGTCACCAGATGCCAAACTCAGCATGGAGCTGGCTAACCACCCTTGCTGGACGCTCCACTTCCTCATGCAAAAAAGGGGATATTGTCCTCAGGTTTCCTAGGCCTTTATGGATAAGTATGTCTGTGCTGCTAAATGCTTTACAGCCCTTTCATCAGTACCTCTACACAGTTAACACAACCTGTCATGTAATGGGTTTCCCCCCATTTGAGAAGATTAAGGACCACAGTAGGACAGATTTTGCTTAAGTGGAACATGAAGCACATCTATCCTCCCAGCACATGCCCTTCACAGGGCTAGTCAAAGGTGACGTGCTGCTATTTTACAAGACAGTTATGACCAGTGGAAGCTTTGACCAATACCCTTTGAAGTCATCAAGCATTTCTGGCAAGCAGTTTAGGAAAAAAAGCTGTTAGGGCCAGTTTTCAAGCACAGATACGTGTGCTCATAGAGACAAAACTTGTAAGAAAGGAGAAAAATCATTGCTTTTTCAACCAGAAAGACAGACCCTTTTTTTTCCTGTAACAGTAGCCAGGATGTCAGCAGGTGCTGGGTGGGAAGGTTCTTGTCAGCGTTACCTGGGGCTAAAGACACAGGGAAGGGGAGGTGGGGGGCAGTGTTTAAGTTAAATAATTAAAGAGTATAACCAGTATTTCAGACACATTGACACTCTAGCAAACAGTAGTCTGCAGTCATAAGAGAAGCACTAGGACTGAACTATAGCTCACCTGTCTATTCCCTATCCCCTCTTCAAAAACAGCTTACAAAAGCATCAGTCTCATCTAATTCCCAGTTTTCATCTTCCCTAAGCATATACAGATCTTTCAGCATACCAGCAACAGCATTTGTGTGTTTGCCACTTTTCTTCAATTGACAATTCTGTAGTGTGTTTATTAGTAAACTACAGAGAACATATGCAACATTACCCATCCTTAAATACAGCCCTTGTGTGGAATGTATTGTCTTCCCCATCCTTATTCCTTTGCTGCTAGGGGATTCTGTACCTGGGAAATTTTGCTTGTTATTCTTATCAGTGTGTTTTGGGGTGGTTTTCAAGTTACAGAAAAGTGTTTTAAAGTTTGAATTAGGGGATATTGAAACCTCAATTTTAATCCTCTGAAGACATGTATTTTATGTTGAACCACTTTCTCTCTCTGAAGGGCATAATTAGAGTGAGCTACAAAGTACCGTTGTACTTGAACCAGATCCCTGTCGTATTTAACTGCATACAAAGTTAAATAACTCAAAATGGTATTTTTCTCCCTCCCAGCACACAATGCACAAAGTGCCTAGAATAAGTATAAAAAAAGTGAACCTTAGAGCATGCAGATTGCCTCAAAGGAGCATTAAAATTCCTTTTTATCCTGCATTTGAGGGTAGAAACCGAGAAACTAGGTACAGGAGGAACTGTACTGCTTATATGACTGCATACTGAACATCCTGCTGGCGTAGTAAACTTCACTCTGTATTTGGCTAGAGAACAACTACAGCTTTCCTTAGGGTTTAAAAATTGTTCAACTGTACCATAATACGTATTTATACATTTAAACAGAAAAATTATTATATTCCCTTTAGCGCAGTTAACAACTAAAGATACCAGCTCATAATTGAACTTCACAGTAAAAAAATATTTCAGCTTCTTGGAATAATATACATATTCACACCTTTTCCCATAAATATCTCTGCCTCACTATGAAATTTATTCTAAAATTAGACTGTTCATTGCACACCTTAGCAAAGCAGCAGCTGGCAACCCTTGAGAGTGAAAATGCTATTTATTTTAAGAAAGGCTGTTGTGCTAATGTACTCGAGCTCCTAGTTACAATATGCTAAGAGACATTGTTCTAAATATACGCTGATGCCAAATACAGGTGTGCAATAAAGAAAACATAGAAGACCATAACACTAAACCAAGGAGAAAAATTTTTACTTAATATGCACTTCTAAAATGTGTTACCTGTGCATGTTCCATCACAGGACACAAACTAATTCAGACTCTTTGTAGTCATTTCTGCCTGAGTTCAGGGACATACTCGTGGGATTATACTTTTGGGGTTCCTTCTTCAGCATTTATTTTTCCCACAGTAGCTAGAGAAGAACAGTTAGAGTTCCCAGGCTTACCTTCAGACGAGCAACCATTTCTTATTTTGAATACATGCTTACATATGTACACTTTACCTTCATTACACACAGTAGCAATATATAGGACATAGGAGAGAGGTGCTAGGGAATCTACCTAAACAAGTCTCAGAAGGAACTCAGCTGGTGAGTCTATTTAGGCAACTGCTCTGAACCACAGTTAGCTGCCCTCCATGTTTAACAGAGGAACATGTTTAAAGCTACAGGTGCTGCCTGAGGCCAGAAAACCTGGTTCTTTCCAAAAGGTAGATCTAAAATGGTTACTTCATAATATAATTGAACAAATACAAGAACCCACTTAGAAACTACCTCCAGGTTGAGAAACATTAGGTTATTCAATCTCCCACCCCTAACATGCCAAGAATTTGGCTAGGGAACCATCAGAAAAACATGCAAGTTTATCTTTGCACCTTTGTGTTCTGCTGCTACTTTGTTGAACTATAGATGTAAAAGATTATGCTGTCTTGTGTCAATCATTGGTTAAAATTTGAACACATGTTCAGAAAAGTCTACAGAGATCCTTATGGGCTCGTGCCCCTGCTCCTGCAGTTGTGTGCCTAGAATAAGTATCATATGTCAAAAAAGAACTCCATATGTCAAAAAATCACATATATACATATAATCACAGAATGGTTTGGGTTGGGAGATACCTTAACAATCATCTAGTTCCAACCCCCCTGCCATGGGCAGGGAGACCTTCCTCTAGGCATTACATCTGAAAAGGTAGGCCTACCAGGCCATCAGCTGTTAACACTCCCAACAAAAACATACTCTGCATATAACGAAAAACATCAGCCAGCCTTCAACTAAAGGGCAGAGCTCATGGTTCTCTTCAGACATCCAGGATGAAGTCTATTATGCCACCAACACTCAAAAGCTTGTTTGAGAAGAAATTGCCTCAAAAATTACACTGGAGCAATCTGATTGGAAAGACTAGTGCTTACAATTCCTTTGGCAGGTGTGCAAGTAACAATGTTTTAGTTACCTGAACATGAAAGAGTACCAGACCCATCACTACAGGCTAAACTTGAGCACTACTTCAAAACAAAGTAGTAAATAGAGAAAAGGTGGGGGGAAGCTTTTATAAAGAGAAACAGTCCCTACCAACAGGTGAGAACAGTGCAAAATTCATTCTAGGTTTTTGAAGAAAACTTAAAAACTTGCAGGAGTAAAATTAAGTCACATTGAGTAACAAAAACACTTTTCAAAATTATTCTTCCTTTAGATTACAAGTGCTTGCTTTTATTTTATTTAATAAAAAATTACTTGGAACATCCACACTGTATAAGAAACCCTGACAGTTAAGTAAGTTAAGTACACAGAAGATCAAAGGCAAATAACTGAAATATCTGCATTAAAACAACAAAACACTGAAAATTGTTCTTAATTATCATTTTGAATTCATTCCTCAAATATACACCAGGCTTTGCTTAAAGGTGTGCTGTGAGCAGCCTTGTTTGTTTTCCTCCCCTTGAAACTGTAAAACATTTGACCTTCAGTACTGTGTGGAAAGTATTTTATCTAATGCTTTAAAAACCTTTTACATTACGTTTTAGCCTTGAGCTTGCAAAAAAATAAAAAAAAGAGCCACAGCCACCACCAAACCACTCCATACAGTTACTGTGCCATTCTCACCTGAGCACAGGTCAAGCAAAGCCTGTGAAAACAATAACAGTTACATGTGTTGTTCCTTCAGACATCACAGGGGTTTTTTTTTTATTGGTTTAGGAAGAAGTACACGCAGTTCAGTGGATATCTCCCAACTTCCCTGCTATTCAATAAATGCTTTTCTTTGATAGATAAAAACTTAAATAAATATTTACATATAAACCAGAAGTCCACAGAAACCTGATTAAAAAAATCTGTTTCTTTCTGGGGTATCCTTTTAACAGAAAGGGAGAGGAATTCCTTACCTATAGCAAAGGCTAGTATCAGTTCTACAGCAGCACGAGCCACCAATATCTTTTGGTGCTTCACACAGCTCTTGCAGTGTTCCCACATATTCCATAGGTTTACAAGGACAAGTTCACACACACCATTCTCCTGCAGTTAAACTTCCTGCACACAGTTTCTTTCAGACTTTATTGTGAAGAGAAGCCATACTCGATTCAACAGCAGCCAGTCTTGTCTCCAGAGCCTTCAATACAGTGTCTGCCTGTAAGGTAAGCAGGGACAGATACTTGACAATACAAAGACCAAGGGCAGACATTAGTAAATGCTCAAGTTCGATCTTGCATCGCCAATCCTATTCCTGCTACTTTCATAGTTTGTAAGTTCACTCAACTAACACTGACTCTTCACACTTTCTCAAATCTAATTTTCTCCAACCTTGGTAAGTGCCAGATTCACACATTCAGCTTTTGGTAGGAAACCAGCAGCTTCCAGAACAGACTTCATTACACTATTTGCTCTCAACTCTCCCTACCTGCAATCAGAAGTTGTCAGTAGAGCAAAAATGTCAACTTTGTATTGAAATATTACATGGTAAATAAAGTTACAGCAAAAGCATTAAGTTAGTTTACACAAAAGACAGAAGAGACATGACTAAAACAAAGTTAAGTGAAAATCTGGAGAAGCAAATCAGAACTAATTAGAAACAAAATTTTTATTACAGACAGGACACAAATAGGAATCTCATGTTGTGCTTGATAAACAGAAAATGCTAGTGACCATTAAAATTGAAGGAAAAGTTGCTAAAAATCTTGCATAACACAAGATATTAACAGCATGAAGTATTGCAGCATACGTTAAAACCCGAAGAAATTATCTGGGGGAAATAAGTTTTGTAGAAACTATGCAAGGATATTAGGGTTCCAGAGGTGATTTAATGGCACAAGGTTAAGTCTTACCCTTTGTAGCACCTCTTCCAAGACAGCTCGACTTTCAAGAGTTAAAGGTTCCTCATTAGTAAGAGCTTGCTTTTCTGAGGATCCTAGAATGTAACTGATACACTACAGTTTAGATGATGCACTTTTCACTCTGAAGGCAAACAACAAATGTAGGACCCACCCATTGTTCTCAATGATTACAAGATTAGGATTAATACACTAGCAAAGCGGAAGCATGATTCCAGCAACAACAAAACACACATGTATCTGGTAATCCTGTAAACAAACTGTATGGTGGAAACAAACAGTTTTGAGCGTGGAACTACCAAGACACCACCGTTTTATGGAAGTCAGCACTCCAAGAGCCCATCATGAATTCTGGTGCTACAGGATACGGTGAAAAATTATGCAGACATTGAGAATACTGTAGCACTAGCTGGGAGAACCAGTCATCACCATTACTGACCAAGAAAATGCACTTTTGAGGCCATACTAGTGTTTCCGACAATTCTACTGCCATGGAAAAAGCAGAGCATCATAGCTGTGGAAAGAGAGGAAAACCACCCCAACTGTCCAGAGCAGGAAGGTGAACATCCACATACATACAGCAGAATAAACTGGAACTTAACAAAAAGCAGAAACATGAAAACTAGCCCAGACAGAAATAAAGGCAACCTATCTCTGTTTACTACAGCAATGTGTGGATAAAACCACTCTGGTGTTGAGACTTAGTTCAGGACATCATTATTGAAGAATATTTTAAGACCACTTTTAAGTGCTATAAACCAACTAGAACCAACACAACAGCACACCTTCATTTTCTAGACCGTTTTTGACTGCAAGAAAGTTAAGTGAGAGCCTCAAGCACATACTCAGTCTTAAGATTTGCTTTTTGCCTACTTTAGCAAAGGAAAAGCAGAATTGAGCAGTACAGGTCAGACCTCACTCTAAGTTCTGCTTAAGCCCCTCTACCCATGTTCTCCACTGGTAACGTTTACCTCTCATAGCTTACAGCTGCACCTATTTGGTACTACCTGTGACCACAGGCTCATTTTATGTTGCCTAAAGGACAGCACATATGTGGTCTCTGTTGATCAAACGAGAGGGACCCTTCCTGTGTTGAGTGCCTAGTGTTGCTTTCTTGGGTGTTAGGCAGTTTCTTATACTAAAGGCAGCCCTGGTATTTTATTTTTTCCAGGATTTGCTAACATTACACAGATCGTGTTTCTCACAATTCAGCACTATGATGCTCAATACAAAATACAAAACACTGCTCTGGAACAAAGCAGCAGAAACAGCTACTAGACCCACCGCAACTATCAACAGGAGCATCCCTCAACATGATGCCTGGCAGGGGAAGTTTAGCTGGTAGGCTTACCAATCAAAATTCTGCCTTTACCTTTCAATTGAGTCAATATTGAAACAGAACAAATCCCTCTTGTAGTCGAGATGCTTTGGGGTGCACCTGTAGATGTTGCCAAGTGTCATTGAACAGCCAGAGCAGAATAACGTTTCTACCATGCTGTAAGTAAGACACATAACATTTATTCAGGAGAAAAGAAAGAGAAACACCTCTCCCCATCACTATGCCAAAAAAATTTATCCACTATGATTTTTTAGAGCACTCATTCCTACTTTATATAGTGTAATTGTGAGTGCTCATCTTTCAGCCTGTGTTCCCAGGGGCTCCTCAGGCCAGCCGACCTCAGCAAGGCTAACACGTAAGCCTTTTGAACAGACCGCCCGAAAGAAGGGTTCCAGGCCCCCCAGCCCTGCCCGGGGAAACACAGCCACCCCCGCCCGCGGGGCGGGCCGGCAGCCCCCACGGGCCGTTTACCAGGCTCTTCCTCAGCGCCTTCCCCGGGGCTTCTCGGCTCCCTCAGGAGGGGAAGGGAAGGGCCCAGGTGGGGATCCACCCCGTCACCCCCCGGAGGAGGGGGCAGCAGCGGGGCTCCGGGGCCGGGCCTCACCATCCATACTCGCCGGGCCGCTTGGAGAGCTTCTGCTCCT